TTCACTTCTGTTTTGATGTTGATGATGCGTGTGAGAATTCTCAATTAAACACAATTTGTTTATTCACTTACTATTTCATTGGTCTAATTGAAACTCACATTTTCTTTAATTTCTCTCACTCTCAAAAGTTCATGCAAATACAAAATTTCATTTACAATCAAAAGTTTTTTTAACTCTACAAACACAATGGCAGAAAGAAAATGTACATTTGTTGTTTTTTAATGAAGTATAAAGTTTTTTTTGTGTTTTCAAGGCTGGTTTTGTGATTAAGCAGAAGATTTTTTTTGACTTTTGAAACTTTTTGCACTGAGTGAAGGAGAAAAAAGTGGAAGTCTATGAAGTAATAACTTGTGCATCATTCTGCGATATCCTCAAATGACAATACTGATCAATTAAATTTACTAGGTGGTGATTTCAGATTAGCTAGCTGGTTTAGATGTTTTAACACAACACACATTTGTTTTGCAGGTGATTGGTCGTTTTTGATGTTTTGACTCGATAAATCTGACCAAATATGAGGTGCAACTAGAAGAGGATAGTGATTCTTTTACAAATTCATGGTTTTGACTTGATTGATTGAAAGCAATTGTTGAAAGCAATGTGATTTCTAGAATTGCCAAGGATTGGTTGATTTTGATAGCACTGGGTTTGAGACTGACAAGTAGTTCAGTAGATTGGATGTGTTGAAGGATTTGATTGAAAGCAATGTGATTTCTAGAATTGCCAAGGATTGGTTGATTTTGATAGCACTGGGTTTGAGACTGACAAGTAGTTCAGTAGATTGGATGTGTTGAAGGATTCGATTGAAAGCAATGTGATTTCTGGAATTGCCAAGGATTGGTTGAGACTGGGTTTGAGACTGACAAGTAGTTCAGTAGATTGGATGTGTTGAAGGATTTGATTTTGACAGGACTGGTTTTGAGACTTGAAGGATGAAATCAAAAGAAAAACGCTACATGATTTGATAAAAGAAACACTACATAAAACATTTGTAAATAAGAAATTGGAACTTTGAAGAAACAAAACAGCATTCGATTCATTGATTCATTTGATTTAATTTGATAATTTCAATTTTGTGTTTGAAGTTTTGATTGAATTGAATTGAATTGAATTGGTGCAAAAATTAACATCATGAATAAATTGAAAACTGGTAAGTGAAATAATAAAATTGACTGATCAATGACGATTGAATGAGAGCTAAAACGTTCAACTGAGCAGTTGAGTCTTGATTTGATGAAATGAATAAAAACATAAAGACATTGATTAAGACAGAATCAAATTAGAAACCTGTTCAAACTGAGATAAAAAAGTATCAAAATCAGAAAACTACATCACCTGGACATTATGAAAAAGAAGGCAAACCTTGGCTATTGGGCTCTTTGGGAGGTATCTTGCTATTGGGCTCATTGGGAAAGATGATTTTCAAGTAATTTAGAACCTCTGCTGGTGTCTTGCCCACTAAAGCAAGATCTTTCGCTAGTTGATTTCTCTCGTGTTGTTTGATGGCAATGGTCTGTGCAGCAGCTATCTCTTTGGCTTCTTTGCGCTCAAGGTAATACTTTTCTCTACTCCAGTCCAATCAGCTTGTTAACTTGAGCTTGGCTTCCTGGTACTTCTTGTCCTCAAAATCATGTCCCCAGTCTGGATTTTCCTTGAGGATTTCCAGCTTCTGTTGGCTTCCACTCTGAAGGGCTGATGCTATAGGATTCTTGAAATCCCGACTTCAAACATTTGCTGGATCAATCAATGGTAGGGGATTCATTCCACAACTGGCCAAAGGTTTAGTAGTAGATTTTATAGTGCGGTTACCCAAAGCAGTGGAGGTGGAAGCTTGTGGAATTGCGGGAAATTGAATCTCGGACAAGTCGGCTGGTTTGGATTTCTTGCTAGGCTGATTATGACGGATAGCAGGAGTGCAGAGTTTACGTGCAATTTCACGTGCAGGTGCTTTGATATCAGTCGATTTCAAAGGTAATTGAGGATTCTTCATTGGCTCAAAAGTTTTAGATCGTTTAGTTTCAGTCTCATCACCACCAGAGTCGTCTAGTGCAAGTTCAGCCGCTGTGAGACCTTTCTCTCTTCGAGACTTGATGAAGGTAATGGAAAGATGAAAAAACAAAGTAGAAAAAAAAAATAGAAACAAATCAAAAAGAGTAGAAAGAGTAGAAATAATCTTACTAATCTACTGTTCCTCTTATGTGAAAGAGGTGGTGGCTCTCTACCTTCAACATCATTGAAGTTGGTACAAGGGGGTGGGAGGCCATCATCAGAGCTAACAGTGTTTGTTTGATGCTTCAAGAGTTGATTATCTTCAGAATCCAAAATCACAACTTTAGAATCCGAAATCACAACTTCAACTCCACAATATTCTTCATCGTTTTCAGATTCTGAGATAACCATTTCCAGTCCACCTGCAAATTCTTCATCTAAGTTTTTGTTGTTGTCATCTTGATCCCATTCGCCATCTTCATCTATCCCCTCTTCAACTTCACCATCATCATCTTCAATAAGGCCACTATCCATAAGGCCAAATGCATTGACATTTCCTTTGTCTTTGAAGATGTTGTCCATCTGGGTGTACCAGGGACACATAAACTCAAGCTTGTTGGGCACAGTCCAAATACCACGCTTATTGTCCTCCTTGGTAGTTCCAAAACCGGTAACTGCACTTTCACGCTTAGCATCCATATATCTTCCTTTCCATTGGTCCACTCGCAGTTTGAGTGGACGACCAGTAAGTCTCATTTTTGTAGTGTCGTGTCAAAGATTGTAACTGTTATTGATGGTACTTGCTAATTCATTTAATATCATTTTTGGAAGCATCAACTGTCCGGTGATCTTTGTTTTGCCGCCACCACCAAAAATTGCATTCCGGAAATTAGGACAATCCAAGTGGGCCAGGATTTCTTCGTAGTTGGCTTTTTGGAGAACTGGGCCTTGGTATGATGTGGATGAAGGGACTAATGGAATTGGTTTAGATTTGGGAGGGGGTTTAGCGCCAGGAGTTTTTGCTACAAGAGGGGCCTGAGTATTTGATGCCGAATTGATTGGTTGGACTGATTGATTTCGTGCTTTGGCGGCCACAAGTGATCTTCAAACTTCGGCAGGTGTAGCCTTGCCCTTGCCTGTGCGTCCACTGGCAGCAAGATCCGCCTCAAGCTGAGCTTTAGTTTGGCGAGGTGTACAGGAAACCTGTGATGTTTCCAATGTCAGCCATGCATATCTGAGATTTGGGAAGATGGGCAGGGAAAACTTACCAAATTATCACGTTCACCTGATGTGGCCATTGTTTGAAGTTGATCAAGATTTTGATTGAATCATATAAGTAAAGATGAAAGTAATCAGATTGGGATTTGGATCAAATCAAATAAGTAAAGATGAAAGTAATCAGATCAAGAGAGAGAGAGACTTGAATCTGATTTGATTGTTTGAAGTTGATCGACATTCAGATTGAATCAAATAAGTAATGACAAAAGTAATCAGATCAAATGAAATGAGTTGATTGAGAATGAGATCAGATTGAATAAAAGTTGATTGAGAATGAGAGGATGATTTGAAGTGGAAGAGCCACGACAAGAATGAGAGGATGATTTGAATAAAAGTTGATTGAGAATGAGAGGATGATTCAAAGTGAAGAGTGGAGGATGCAAAGTGGAAGAGCCAGGATGATTTGAAGTGGAAGAGCAGAGGATGCAAAGTGGAAGAGCCAGGATGATTTGAAGTGGAAGAGCCAGGACGAGAATGAGAGGATGATTTGAAGTGGAAGAGCGGAGGATGTGAAGTGGAAGAGCCAGGATGAGAATGAGAGGATGATTTGAAGTGGAAGGAGAAAGGGTACGAAAGAGAGAGAGAGAGAGAGAGGGTATGAGAGAGGGAGAGGAGGGTATGGGAGAGGGAGAGGAGGGTATGGGAGAAAGAGAGGGCAGGTGAACGTCTTTAAACCTTGTCTCACCTGCCCTCAACCGATTTTTTGTGTATGGGCCAAAAGACTTATAATTTATAAATCACCAAGCCACCTCTAGAGGTGGCTTGGTGGTCTTAAAATATAAGTTTTGTTTTAAGGACATCAAGCATGTCTTAAAACCTAAAAATGTGCCTTAAAAGTCAAACTTGAATTGCCCTATTAGGGGGTGTCAAGTCAATTTATTTAAAACAAAAAACCGTAAAAAAGATTGCCGTCGGAGCATAAACTTAAGTAAATTTTACAAAAACGGGATGAACATAAAGGTGTCCCGTTTTCGTAAAACACATACTTATGACTACAGCGGAAAACCCAAACATAACCCGGAGGTTTTAACCCTCTAAATCTGGTGATAAATCAGACCCGTAAACCACTCAAGCCCCTTTTCTCAATCGCAACCAACTCAATCTATTTGATCGATCGATACCTACACTGTCTACCTCCTTTTACGTTTCAACCATTGTGATCATTAACATCCCAGTTGCTTTGCTTGACCCTGTTTGTTTGACTCCGTTCTACGATTCGGGGTCTCGCGTTCTGCTGGGAGGTTTTTGCTTCTTTGGTTTGATTTGACACATCATACTCGATCACAACCCACTCAATCAAACAGATCGACTCGATCGACTCGATTGATCAATACCTACTCGAACCACACCCTCTTTTACCTTTCAACCATTCAATTCAACTCCTTCCCAGTTGCTTTGCTTGACCCTGTTTGTTTGACTCCGTTCTACGATTCGGGGTCTCGCGTTCTGCTGGGAGGTTTTTGATTGTTTGGTTCGATTCGTTCATCGTGGTTCTTGTGGAAGCTTGTTTGATTTTGCTCTTAGTGTATTGGAACATCATCCATTATCACTCAACTCCCAAACATATCAATTTTGAAATCAACATCGAGGTGAGTTTATATCTTTTTATCCACTGTTATCGACTACTTACCTATGATTCTATGCCATCAGTCAAGATGAAACCTTCATCATCCAAGCCAACTATCACTCGCAATCGTCGCAGTAACGCCGAGGTCAAGGAAGATAACGCCAAAATGCTCGAAGAATTGAATCTCCCGCCTGATACCAGAATAACGACTGCACTCACTCGCAGGTCTAAAGCTCAAAAAGCCAAGAACGTACCGGTTTCAACTCAGAATGTTCCTGTGATAGCAACTTCTGTACTTCCACCACGAGCTCCAGCAACTTCTGTACTTCCACCACGAGCTCCAGCAACTTCTGTACTTCCTCCACAAGCTCCAGCAACTTCTGTACCATCCCAAAACCGAATGAACTACTCCAAATTTCGAGCTCAAAAGCAAGACGAAGCTAAAAACCCCCGATTGGATGATACCGACCTCACTTTTCTCATCGATCATATGAGTGTGCCGGCTAATCATGCCAAGTTGATGGGTTCTGGCCCTAAGACACAGGTTGGTGGTCTTAGCCGTGGTGCTGAATGGAACGCACTGGCTGCAACAATTAACATCAGGCATAATGATCGACTTCGACTCACCACCACATCTAGTTCAGCCAGGTTGAGTATTGATGGGAGCGAATTGGCCAAGAGGTATGGTCGTATCAAAAGCAAATATATTGAAACAAATAAGTACTGGAAGGAAACTGGTAAAGGATTGACCGATCAAGACATCGCTGACGGGTTCATAACAGTCGAACAGAAGCAAGAGGCCCAATGCCCGATGTACAAAGAACTCGATGTTATCTATGGTAGCAAACCAAATGTTACGGCCATATCTAGTTATGACAGCACATCAGCACCTCCACCCAAATCTCGATCACCCAATAATCAAGCATTTCTATCAACTCCTCAACATCAATTGCCTTTACATCGAGAAGAAGCCTTTAATGAATTAAACCGAGATAATTTTTACTCCCCTATACTAAATGAAGATACAGTCGACTCCCTCGAAACCCATATCCCTCTAATCCCATACTTCCGGCTAACCCATAGAAATTTGGGTCCATAAAATTTATGGGCGGGGAAAAGTGGCCCAAAACCCATACCTCCCACTATTCCCTTAACCCATAGTTTTTTTTGGGAAACCTGAGGTCAAAAGCCATAACCAAAATTTGCCAAAGCTGAAAATTTATGAAAAAAATCTGCATCCTTGTGTATTTTTCAGCATAATCAGTCTCAAAATGCTTCCAAAAGACCTTTCACAATTCAGCGTAACAGATATTGAAACCGGTTTCAATGCCCTACAAACAGAGAACAACAAAAGACTCAAGCCTCTCAAGCAACTTATGAGTGAAGGGAAAAAATTGTCGGAGGCGGATGAACAATTCATAGACTGTGCTGGAAACTTAATAGATGAAACACTTGTATTGAGGAAGATCAAAGACAAAGAAAATGTGGCTAAGGCTGCCAGTCAATTCAACAAGGATGAGCTGAACAGACTTGAAGTTTTGATTTTGAAATTCAATCTGACAAAGGAAGCAGTGATTGCCAAAAAACCAAGTAAGCTGTAACCTTCAAGCTGTAATTGAGTTGTTCACTTGCTGAAAAGATGTGTTGTTCAATGTTTTAGGCTCCAAGAAACGTGTAGCTGAGGAAAGTAAAGGCGAAGATACCCCACCAACAAGTAAAAAGAATAAATCAACAAAGTCTCAATCAACTCTGGCTCAGCGAGTTGAAGTCCTTGATTGGTACGAACGGAATGGTTGCAATCAATCTAAGACTGCGCGTCACTTTGCTTCAATCTATCCCAATTTGAATATCAAGCAACCACTTGTTTCAGAATGGGTCCGAGACAAGGACAAGATTCAACAGAATCATGGAGCTGGTCACACTGGATCTCAAAAGAACACAGCCGAGCATCCACAGGTTGATGAAGCACTTCAAGCCTGGGTTCAACAGGCTGTCATTGCAGGCTTAACAATCACAGGCGATGTGATACGAGCCAAGTGGTGTGAATTTGCTAAACTCTTCAAAATCTCTGAACAAGACTGGCTTGCTCTTAGTGAGGGATGGCTCACTCGATTCAAGACTTGGAACGGTTTACGCCACATAAGAAAGCACGGAGAAGCAGGCTCCGTCCTTCCCGATACTGTCGCTGCCAAGCGTCAACGCCTCCAAGAAATTACCAACCTTTACCATCCACGAGATATTTGGAACATGGATGAGACTGGTCTCTTCTACGGGTTGGTTCAAATCTTATCTCTTTAACATATGTATACAGTGTAACGTTGATTGATAACAATCACCTGCTTATGTTTTAGCATGCCCCCAGACAAAGGTCTTGCATTTGGTCCAACATCAGGGGTTAAAGGTGATAAGCGAAGATTGACTTATGCCCTTGCTGCTAGTGCCGAAGGTGAAAAGATTGAACCTTTCATTATTGGCAAGGCAAACAAGCCTGCATGCTTCAACAAGAAAAGTGGCGAGAGTCTTGGTTTTTATTACCGCAACAACACCAAAGCATGGATGACTTTTGAGCTGTTCAGTAGCTGGATAACGAAGTGGGACCAAGATCTTGCGGTTCAAAAACGACACATACTCCTACTAGTTGACAACTTCAGTGGGCATGGAGAGCCTCCCAAGTACAAGCTCACAAACATCCGTTTAGAATTCTTTGCACCCAATTTAACTTCTCATATTCAACCCTTGGATGCTGGAATAATAGCCACATTCAAGTGTCGCTACCAATCAAACTTCATCAACTATTCACTGAAGCGTTATGATTCAGAGGTCCCGATCGCCGAAATCTACAAGATACATCAACTCGATGCAATGAAATTGGCTCAAGATGCTTGGTTCTGTGTCACTGAAAGCACAATATCGAATTGCTTCCGTAAGACTGGGATCATCTCACCTCGAAATCCCGATGGATCGGTAAAGGACGGCCCTACTTGCCTCCAATCAGACTCCGACATGAACCTTTCAAAGGTCTTGGATTCTGAAGCCAAGGCTCTGTTGGCTGAAGATCTCGACCAGCTTGAACAGCTCAACCTTGTTAATCAACGGAATCAAATGTCGATTGCTGAGCTTCTCAATCCTCAGGGAGAGCACTCTAGTGGATTAGAGCAATGGACTGTAGATGAAATATTTGAATCGATAACTCAACGAGACACTAAGGAAGATCACGATACCGCGTCCGATATCATAGAGGTTTCCCCTCCTCGCCCGAGCTACTCCGCCTTCAAACAATCTCTTTCCGTTGTTTCCGAGTATGTTAAGCATGCAGATACATCCGAAGCGAAGTCTTTTGAAGCTGCCATTTGTGCTGCTACCAGACATTTTTGTGTGGTTCATACACGCTCTTTAAAGCAGGCTTTGGTATCTGACTTCTTTAATAAGAAATAACTACAATAGTCTTCAATGTTATTACTGCTGTTGTATCACACAACAATATAGAAATGAATTTTCTGAGCAACTCTTTAAAAAAAAAATCTCCCTCTCAACCCATACTTTGCCTGCTAAACCCAAATCTATGGGTTATGAGGGAGATCCTCCAAAACCATACTCCCATAAAACCCATAGTTTTGGGTTTCCATAAATGGGTATGGGTTTTGAGGGAGTTGACTGTATTTCATTTGGAAGTCTTATTAATTCAAACCAAAACAATCTCACCTCGACTGGACTTCAAGAAGATGTCACAATGAATTCCTTTGATTCAGACCGACTCGATCTAATTGGAACCGATCACGAATCACATCATCTCAATCCTCAGTTCAACCCAGGTGATTTCAAGTCTCAATTCAACAACTCCAACATTTCAATCACCGGTAATTCATTTTAGCTCTCCCTCAGTTGACTTTTGTTATATCTAACAATCTCAATCTCTTTTCCTTTTGTTCAAACCTAGATGAAACCACATTTGATTTTGGTTACAATCAAGCTGGCTTGAATCGAGTGCAAGATCAACTGGATCAATTTAATGAACAATTTGAAGAAAATTGATTTCAAGAAAATCAACTTCAACAAAATCAATTTCAACAAAATCAATTTCAAGAAAATCAATTTCAAGAAAATCAATTAGAAGATAATCAATTTCAAGAAAATCAATTTCAAGAAAATCGATTTAATGAGAATCAATTTAATGAGAATCAATTAGAAGAAAATCAATTTAATGAGAATCAATTTAATGAGAATCAATTAGAAGAAAATCAATTAGAAGAGCAAGATCATCAATTAAAAGATAATCAATTTAATGAAAATAAATCAGAAGAAAATCAATTAAAAGATAATCAATTTAATGAGAATCAATCAGAAGAGAATGAAGTTCAAGATGATCAATTACAAGAAAATAATCCTCAACCAAAGAACCAATCCAAAAAGGCTCGACAAGCAACTTTGAATTTGGCTAAGCGACCTGCAAAGCCTCTACCAACTCTGAATGCAAATGAAGTTAAAAAGAAACAAACCGTCGACAGTGCACTCAAGCAAAGCAATTCCGAGCAATAATTTCTCCAAGGAACAAATTGACCTTGCAAGTATCAAGCAGGACAAACGAGCTCATATTGCAAGTACTTCAGCAGCAGACGCATTAGCATTTGAAAAAGAGAAGTGGGAAACTCAGCAGGTACGCGAAGATGCAAAGAGTGCGTCTGAGGCAGCTCAACTTTTCAAAATTTCTCAGGCAACTCGTGTTCACAAAGATAAGAAAGCACGGTGAGAGGCAATTGAGCGTTGTCGCAAGGAAAAAATGCCTATGGAAGAAATCAAGGAGTACATCGATTTTCTTTTTCCACCTTCTGAAACAGCTTAAAAAACATTTATTACAAAAAGGAACCTCACTCAGCCAAAATGTTTGTATTTAACAAATTTTATTTTCTTTACTCTTATTAAATAAAAATGTACAGTATCTTTTCAAAAAAACAACTTTTTTTCCTTTACTCTTCAGAATTCTTTTACTAAAAAGCACATATTTTTAAAAACTCCTGGTCCTTCAAATTTGTATCAGATTGTCTCGTTCTTGTTTTAGCAATTGTATTGAAGTAATACAGATCAAGTATCAATGTTGTTGAAAGCAACTGCATAATCACGTACTGCCTCTCGTCAAAGGTACCCCAAATCGTCCTGACCAATGCCTGCATTCACATCAAGATGTAAATTTGGTAATCCCACAGGTTCCTCATCCTCTTCGTCATATTCATCTTCCCATGCATCTCCAAGTTGAGCAAGCATATTGTGTAATAGAATACAACATCGGATCCAATCAATGATTGGATCCATATCTTTTTCATCATCTAATCCCAATCGAAGACCTCGCAATGATCCAAAACGCAATTTTAAAATACCAATTGCATGCTCGTTACGAACTCGAGCTTGTGCTACATAAGTATTGAACTTGCAGTTTCGTTCTTGAAGTGCAGCGGCGCCTTTGTAGGTTGCTACAAGTGTGTTGCTGACTCGATATGCCGAGTCAGCAAGCAAATATTCATCTGAACCAGAGGTCAGCTGAGTATTCGAAATCAAAAGTGATTGATTTGACTAACCTTCAGAAAAATGCTGCCCAGGATTGGTAGCAAGATTCATCAAAGAATAGCACTTGTTGTCGTGGCAAGATCCAGGCCAACACGGTATACAGAGCTGTGATCCTTCGATCACAGTCGCAGATAACTTGAGCATTGATAGAGTAGCGTTTCTTGCGGTCAAACCAAGTCTCGCCATCTATCCCAGGTCTTTGATAGAGCGGGAAAGTAGTTCCGTCTATGAATCCTACACAACCAGGAAAGCCTTCCAAGGCCATTACCTGAGAGATTTCCTTTTGCCGGTCACAATCAGGCCATTTGAGATAATCGGCAGCGTACTTGTTGATGGCCTGAATGCACCGGCGTGAGCAATTAACTACCACTCCAGATGAGAGCTTATAAGTTCGGGCTAAACGGCCTAATGAAGCGCCATTTCCTGCACTGCCCAATCGCTCCAAGGTAAGAGTAAGCTGCCTGGCGACAGGCGGTTGTGGATTGTTAGATGTTGAGAAAAAGATCGGGTGACCAATGATCAGATCCAAGATTGCATCATAGCCAGCTCTCGTGGTTCGCATGGCTTGTTTAAACTCAAATGGGCGATCGCGTAGGACATCATTGATATTAAAGTCATCCTCAAATGGCATCTTCCATCGAGGTTTGTGATATCTCATCTCGGTGACCAGCTCTAAAAGGTCTTCAAGCTCATCTTCTGCATTGAAGACAAAGTCAAATATCAAAGCTGAGACTTTGTCATCCGGATAAATTAAACCACCCATTGAAGGGATCATTCGTTGCCCAAATATCACCTCTTGCATTCTGAACTCATGAGCTTCTTCGCAGGCTGATTGATACCATTGCTCTATTACATTGATTGTTCTCTGACGTTCGGAGATTCTAACCATGGTGATGGATCTGGAAGTTGCGGGAAGTTGTTGTTGACCGAGGAAGGTTTGAACCTTGTTTGTTCAAGCGGGTGCTTGGGTTGACTGACTGTACAAAACCCGCAGAGTTCTCATTTTACTGCTTGGGTAGCCTACAGCGGCAAGAAGTACATTAATTTTACTTCATTTTTACGACAGATTTTTACTACAGCGGAAATCTTTTTTTACAACAAAAACATAAAAAGATTTCCGCGTTAAAAAAAATCTGTCGTATTTATCTTGACTTGACACCCCTTATTATTGAGTATACTGAGTATTTTTGCTTATTTTTGGCCCTGTAAACCCGTACAAAGTGAGTATCAGTTGAGTATGTACTCATACTTGGTACTCATTCCTGCATCCCTGCACCGCACCGCAACAGCCAAAGGCTGCATTGCTGACCCGACGTTGGACGGGGCCTTCTCCACAACAATCAGAGGCCTTTTGCCAAAGGGTGCCTTCAAGCCTTTTGCTTGATGCGCAATGACGCTGGGCTTGACCACTTGCACACGCAAATTGCCTAAGCACAGGCTGAGGTGAGTATGTTTGCATGGAAATATTTGCAAGTGAACAAAATACCAATGATTTGCCAATAGTGCAAAGTGGGGTGAAGAACTTGGAATATTTGAGTGGGATGCTGGACTTGGCAAGTTGACACCGAGTAATTGACCAAAAGATGCATCTTATCTTTTTCCAGAATGCATTTGTACTGGTGACCTGCACACAGCTAATCATGTGTCCCTGTGCAAGAAATTTCTCAAAACTGTCTCTGAATGACCTGAAAAGATTAAAGCAGTTCAAAAGAAAAGAATTGCAAAGTCAATCAAAAGCCAAGCTATTTCAAGTCACACACATCATCAACAAAACTACATAAATTGCTCTGATCTCAAAGCATGATTAATTAGTCAAAAGAACTAAAAAAAGAAAAAAAACTAAATAGAGTGCCAAATGAAACATCAAACAGATTACAACTTCACGAAGAAAGGAAAAAGAAAAACTGATTTCATTACTCTGTCAATGACAAATCTCCTAATCCAAGTTGTGTTCTATAAACAATATGTTTGGTTGGATCGGCTGGTGTACTTTGGTTTTTAGGTTGAATCCCTGTCAAGAATTCCGCATCATCAAATGATTCATTCACTGTCACATCACCTCCCAAAAACATTGGTTGTTCCTTTAAACATGATACTGTCTTGTCATTTGAATCTTCTTCATCCATTTCATTTCCATCAGGTGAAGTGACTCGATCCCAATTAAAAATTGTAGGATCTCGTGGTCGAACTCGATGAGGAATCCCGATCGGCGTGTTAAGCGTATTCTCGATCATCGTGTTATCGTGAGTATTCTCATCTACATCATGATGATTATCAAGACGCATGCGCTTCTTGTCCTCAGGTCCGTCCTCGTCAGCTTCCTCAGGATGATTGTCCTGCTGATCAGTTTGGAATTGGTTGGCTTGATTCACTTCTTCTTCCTCTTCTTTCCAACGACCGAAGTCAAATGAAAGACCTAATTGTGCCAAGTCGCTGTTGACCTTTGGAGGTAATGGCATCCAAATAGTATCTTCGTGGTCAAAGTCGACGAGTAACTGGGTTGGTCCACCACTAGCCGAAACCGAGCGACTTGAGCTGGCTGTTGGGTCATTGACGCTTCTTCCTCGCTGACCTGGTGTCGCAGAGAGTGATTGTGATAACGAGGTAGTCTTCATTGGCGTCTTTTGAGCCGCCGAATGGTACTCGGACTTGCTTATCGTCTTGGATGTTGTAGCGTGAGGTTTTCGGTGCGGCGTAGCTGCAGGGTAAGGTCGTCTAGGCGTAGCAGATGAGTTGGATTTCTGGAAGGCAGGGGTCTTGGGTGGTTTCGACTTGGCAAATGTCGGAGGATTTGATGTTTTAAACAGATAAGGCGAGTTGGGTGATGGGGGCAAGGGCACACTCATGGGTACAATAAGATCATCAGGCAATCGAGTACATATGTTAGTTGAGGGAGGTTTGGAAGCTGGGGGGTCAGGAACTACGACCCCTTTTTTAGTTGATCGAGAGACGGGAGGAGTCGGATGACTATCAGAAGGTTGTACGATCGTTGGTGAAGGTTCCGCAATAGGTGGTGAAGGTTCCTCAATAGATGAAGGTTCTGCGATGGGTGGTGAAGGGTCCACGATGGGGGGTGAAGATTGCACAATAGTTGAAGGTTCTAAAAGAGGTTGTGATGGTGGTAGTAGTCGTGATGGCACCGATTCAGGGAGTGCGGTAGAAATTTGTTCAGACTGAGGTTCATCGGAGATTGGCGAGGGGACGGAGGGCTCTAGTGGCGGCTCGCTTGACACGGGGGCTTCGTTTGATTCGGGTGCAGGGGATGGTGGAAGAGGAGTGAGGACAGGAATCCGAAGTTCTTCGGGTAAGCCAGACACAAGAGTGTGAGGAATCGGTTTTGATGATGCAGGAGCAAGCGGTCGACTGGGGACTGACTTTGGATTGGATTTGAGAGCTGGCTTTGAAGACTTTGAAGGCTTGAATGCCTTTCGATAACCGGTCTGACTGATCGGATTCCCAGTGGTGTCTTGTTGACCAACCTTGGTAATCGCACCCACCGACTGTTTGAGATTTGCACTTTCTTGTGACTCTGGAATTGCACGTCTGGGAAGAGGGCGTGTGGGGACCGGATGTGAAGTAGGGGGTGGGGCAACTTGGCTCGATCCAGAGGCAGTTCTTGACGGCTTGAATCCACGATTGGGGATCATAGGCTCACTGGAAGACAACACATTGACTCCATGAGGATGAGTGGATGGTAGATGCTTATGAGTAGTGTTGGAGTGCCCAAGATTCGTCGTCTTAGAGAACCCATCAGAAGGACCATGATTGGTAGAGGCGATGGGATTGAGTGGTACCCTGGTGGCAGTCCTAGTAGTACTATTGGTAGTCGGATCGGGGGGAGGGAGAGCAACACGCTGAGCTCTCATGGTTGAGTTGGATCGTTTCTTGAAAGCAGCGGATCTACTTTCAGTCGCACCGTGAGAAGGAAAGGTTGAAGTGGTAGGGAGAGGTCCAGATTCTACAGTCTGACGTGCTTGTCGTCGAGATGGTTGAAGAGGATGATCGGGTGGAAGTGGGACAGAAGCAGCTAGACGAAGCGTGGCAGAGTCAGAAGATCCAACAGCATGATGACTTGAAGTGGGTGCGTGAGATCTAGCTTGTTCAGGCGCGGTTGGCTGTGAGCGATTAGTGGATCTAGCGAGGTGATTGCCAGCCTCCTTGGATCGCGAAGGTTGAGATGAGTTTGTTGTCTTTTCATTTGCTGTGCGCTTGTTATTATTGCTCGGCGGAATAGGACGACTAGAGGAAGAAGTAGGTTGAGGCTCTTCAGGCGGAATGGACGAAGATCCAGGTGGCTTGTTAAGACCGAGGTAACGCTTGATAGTAGGAGTGAATGGTTGGGACAAACTAACAACAATTGCAAAGAGGTTAATTTTCAAGACGAAAATGTGAGTCATTGGATTGTATGAGAAGGACCAAACTTACGCAGAAGCGCGTGATGGCCATTGTTTTTGATAGAGAATCCAAATCCTCTTGAAGATTGCTCTCACTTTCGGATCACGATCTCGACCGCCTATTTTGATAGCAGATTCGATATCAACAAGCCGTTTGTTCAAACCTTCACGTGTAACAGTAGGTTCTTTGATGAGCTCAAGCTGATCGCGATCACGTTCAGGACTACCACCTAGACAACATAATAAACCATCTGCACATCCTATCCTAAGGGAGATTGATTTATCAGAGAGACCATCTAGTAAAAGAGGGATGAATGAAGCTGATCTTGTTCCACGAATGAGAGTATTGAGTGCTATTGAAGCTCTAGTGACATAAATTTTCGAAGCTCTTGCCAAGAGTTTGACGATAGTAGGAATGTAAAATGGTATTGCACTATCCCAATGAGATCCTAAACGAGAAGTTGAACCGATCAAATCGAGTGCAGTACCCGAAAGACGCGTTCTTTCAGTCGAAAGAGCTGAAACGATACCACGGACGATATCACTCTCTTTCCATCTACGTAAAAAGTCGTCTGGAAAATCGCAAGCACCACCACGGATAGCAGCAGTGAATTGTTTTAAACTTGCATCAATCTTCAGCCAAGTATCTTCAGTTTCATCGACAGAGAGGGCCGTTTTGAGTAAATCGAATTGATGATGGCACTGTTGAGGAGAAGTGACCTGTTTGATGAATTGAGATTAGTTATTTGTTGAGAATGAAGTGTAGACTGTTGATGGAAAGACTTACTGATATTTTCTCATTAACTTCTTTGATTGGCATTTTACTAATCTTGATGTGATTTGGTGTTAGTGGTCGTTGTCTTGTAGAGAGAGAGAGAGAGGTCATTTAACACTTGACTTAATATTAGAGCTTAAGTAGTTTTAATGTTGAAAATTTAAAAGTTAAAATTTGATTATGGGATGTGAGTCGATCCCATTCACCAATCCACCGACGCATTCATCCAAGAAGTTTTTCAAAAAAATCCAATTCAAATCATGACCACTTCCAATGGAAACCCATCAACTTCAGCACCATCAACAATACCATCAAGCACTTCATCAGATCAAGATTCCGACAGAGCTCCATTAGGTTCATCTTCAATCTTCAATTCAATATCTTCATCTCAATTTATCACTTACATGATCTTAATACCTCTTAATCTTCATCGTTAGGATCCGGTGCCAGGTTAGTCCCTTCCCTTGATTCAGTCCAATGATGTCCAGACTTTCACTAATCTACAAATCTTTTTAGTGCCTATGATCCTTCTTTAGATGGTACTTCTGTGGCTTCTACAGATGCTGAAGATGGTCCAAAACCTACTCTTGATGAACTTTCAGACGAAGATAAGGCGGTCAGTCGAATCTCAATTCATCATCATCATATCTTAGCGCGCCCTAATACATTTTGAACAATCAAAATTAGGATGCCTTGAGGTTGAAAACAGAGGCAAACAAATGCTTTGTTGGTAAGTCTTCATCTTCGTAACTAATTTTCACAAAAACTGATCATGCATGGCTCTTTCTTTTTTAGCTTCTCAATACCAAGAAGGTACCTTTGATTTCAAACTTGAATAAAACATAATCAACATCATCATGTTTATCAACTCTCATTCTCATTTTCGTCTCATCTAAGCCCTCGATCTTTATACCTTATCCCTCGGACGCAATCCCTACGATCCAACGGTATGGTGTAACCGTGTGTACTATTCACCTTTTCCCAACTGTGATCCAATCAGCTCATGAGCCTCACAGACCTACTCACTTGATTCTTACAGGTTCTGCTGTTAGACTTAAACGTGAAGAACATGGATTAGCCATCATGGACACCTGTAAGGCATTCGATAGTTTCAGGTATTCACGGCTTAAATTAATATATCTCTTATAATTTTGTAGCCCGCGCCATTGATCTCGACTCAAAGTACGTCAAGGCTTATTTTCGAAGAGGTACAGCTCACCTGAGTATCATGAAACCTCATTTAGCAATCAAAGATTTCAAATCGGTTCGTTTCTTTTCATCTCCTTCACTTCGTATATCTTCATCGCTCACCTTTCACTTCGTATTCATCAGTGCCTACAATACGATCCTAAAAACCTTGCGGCTCAAACTCAACTTGCCGCTACCGTCAAGCTAGTCCGTCGACTTGACTTTGAACGTGCGATTGCTTCCTCTGATGATGAACCAGTGTCATCTAAAATTCGAAAATTGATTGCCGAGGGTGGATGTGAGTTGGACCCCTCATATACCGGTCCAATGCTCTCAAAGGGTCCCAATGGATACCAGCCCAATGAAACTTTTATCAAAGAAATGTTAGAATGGTTCAAGCAGGGCAAGACGCTGCCCAAAAGATGGGTTTATGAGATCGTACTTGGTTGTTATGGATTCTTGAGCCAGGAACAGAGTATGACTGACTGTACCATTCCAGAGGGAGAGACGGTAGATGTGTAAGTCTTCAAGTTGTCCAAAAATAATCTTGTAGACTTTAGGCTCAAAGCTGGGTATACACTCTTCGATACATACTTGTTCTCTTCTCCTTCAGAATCGGAGATACGCATGGTAAGGTCTTATTCACTCTCATTCGATATCGAAGGGTGTTATTTACTGTCCCATCTGGTTCACAACAGGACAATTCTTCGATGTTTTGCATCTTCTTACACTCACCGGAATGCCGTCAGAAAACCATACACTCGGTGAGTATATTTTACTGCAACTCGTTAAGTTTCCTTGGTCGGCTCACTTTTGGTCTTTGATGTCTATCTATAGTCTTCAATGGAGACTTTGTTGATAGAGGAAGTTGGAGTACCGAGGTGGTGTTGACAGCCTTTGCTCTCAAATGGTATCTACCAAACAAAGTCTTCGTAAGTCGGAGATATCTTCTTCATGTTATTGATCATCATGTCACATGTAACAATATTTTCAAGAATACATTCTGACGAACCCTCTTTTTTGACATCTCTCATAGCTGAATCGTGGCAATCATGAGACAGCAGACATGAATAAAGTTTACGGATTCGAGGGAGAGGTAAACGCCCTCTTCTTCACTCTTGAAAACCTTCCCCTGGTTTATCAAAGAGACTTGAACTGATAATCATATGTCAACAAATTTTAGACCAAGAAAAAATACAGCGAAATGGTTTACAAACTCTTCGAAGAAGTGTTCTGTGCCTGTGAGTCTCTTATTCTTGATCTCCACAGACATCTCTCCATGATTCTGACAATCTTTGCTTGGATCATAGTACCTTTATGTTGTCTTATCACAGCAAGTTGTCCGCCCGCACCTACCAACATTTCACAAATCCCAGCCGAGCCATTCTTTTCACCAGAGGGTCGAAAACGATTCTTTGTAGTCCATGGAGGTTTGTTTTCAAGAGATGAAGTCGAATTAGATGAATTAAGAAAGATTCCTAGAATGAAAAAGAAACAACCTGGTAATGAAGGATTGATGATGGAATGTCTTTGGACTGATCCTCAAGATGGACCAGGAAGAGGTCCTAGTAAGAGAGGTGTTGGACTTGGATTTGGACCGGATGTGACTGAACGTTGGTGTAAACATGCAGGAATCACTGGTTCGTTTGATCTTTTGAATTATCAACCTATCTTCGATGTGTGAAGAAGAAAACGACAAATGCTGATTAGATGATGATGAGGTGATCTTTAGCTGTGATTCGATCGCACGAAGTCCGAGATGCTGGATACTCAGTTGAACATGCAGGAAGATGTATCACAGTCTTTTCAGCACCGAATTATGTAGATCAAGTTGGAAACCTAGCTGCATTTGTTAGGATCGATGATCGAGGTACACTAAGCTTTACATCATATAAAGCTCAATCACATCCAGATGTGAAACCTATGGCTTATGCTGGAGGATTTATGGGTCTAAGTGGACTGATATGATTCAAAAGAAATATTTATGAAAAAAAGATATGAAATTCGAACGATATTGATCAAATGTTCTTTTTGCTGTTATCTATGAAAGGAGCCAGGCTGACCTTCCTGTGCCAAGAAAAGTACAAAGGTTTCAATTGGATTACATGTCTTGTATCATGAATAGTGGTATCTAGTCACATAGACTGAAATAAAAGAAGCAAAGGAATACATTAGCAAGAAGTGATCTTTGATCTGAGTCAGTTGTGATGCCGACACAAGGATGATGTGAAATTTGATAGTGAAGCCGTGTCCTTACTCTGGTCTGCTAAGGCTCTTTATCTGGAACAAGAACTCAGATCTCTTGGTATAATGTTCATTTTCACATTTTCCACGAATTGGTTCTTGGCAATCTTCCTTTGAAAGAATGATTACTGGGTAACAAAGTGTTTTCAGTTCACTGAAATGCTGTCTATTCAAGCTATGATCGATGTCATGGGGAAATGTAGGCCAAATTGTGATGTAGGGTTCACAACTCTTGGTCTATGTCCACTGGCAACATGTCGACAAAATCTTTTACAAAACACAGGAATACCATGGTGTATTTTTCTTTAAACAGAATTCACTGGCTTTCAACTGTAAGTGTTCTGGAGACTGAAGAGATGAACAAAAGACATAAGGATACAAAAGTTGATCGACAAGAAGAGCTCATGGCGAATATTTTGAAAGAGCGTTGCGCAATAGTCACAGCACAAGACAGGCAGTAATTGACATGAGATCAAAGGGTATATTTCTAGAAGAGATGAATGAACGCGAGGGCTTAAGGGATGATTGCCAAAGTTGTCCTCAGCCGTTCGATAACTTTCTTACACTCCTCTTCTGTCCCAACGGTGATCCTTAAACACCCCTCACATCCAAACTCTTCACCTCGGAATCTCACAACAATGGCCTCTTCTTTTTGTAAACCTGCCATATGTTGATAAACCTTCTTGGCTCGAGCGCTATCTGGACCACCACCGCTACTTGCCAACACTTGAATCAAGATGAAATTGGCCTCTGTCTTACCCAGGATTTGACCCATATCAGTGATCTTCTGCAATTCTGCTGCCAACCAATCTCGATTCGATCGGATTTGTGACAGATTTGTGTGCGTTTGGTTTAGGGCTTGAGGTAAAGTGGCAACATAAGCAAGACTTGCAGTAGGAGATGATATGGTATAAGGCGCCTTTGTATTGTTAAGTACTTGGATCAATTCTTCAGATCCATACGCGATACCCAAACTTTGAATATAGTGTAAGAGAAATGATCAGTCTATCCAAAAGAGGACTTGACATTTTTATAATGAATAACAACAAGTGAGTATTTCAAATGCTCACCGTATTCCAGCCAGACCGAAGCCTTTGCTTAGGGTCTGAACTACGACCAAATTCTGATACCCTTCACGCAAGAGTTGTAAAGCGCTTTGGTCTTGACCAGCGAAGTCGATATATGCCTCATCGACCACGACAAGACCTTTGTAGCGTGAATCGGATAGAAAAGTTTGGAGGAAGACTAGGGAGATGGTAGTGCCGGTAGGATTTCCAGGAGAGCAAAGAATGACAAGTTTAACTGGCCGAGTCGGAGGTGAGTTTTCAATCGCTTGAATAATCTGTTATTAAGACAGCTTCAGGAGTGAGATCAGGCCAAGTTGAATGATGTTTTTACTGCATACCATCTCGTAATGTGGAGTAAATGCACCAGCTGTGACATTCAGTGGAACTGGAATCACTCCGACATCATTGACTCTAGCACAGACGGTGTACATTCCATACGTCGGAGGAGTGACAATCACCCGATCACCTTGATCTTCTGTGTCGCCGGGTTTGCAGGTAATTCGAAAGAGTAGGTCCAAGACTTCATCGGAACCTACGCCAAGAAACACATTCGAAGGCGATAGTAATGGTAATGAAGGAGCAAATTGGTTGCGATAGTTGCACAGGTTTTGTTTGATTGGGATATGCAAGGGAGACGGATATCGGTGTAAAGATAAAGAGTCGAGGTCTAGTCCATTTTCGTGAGTCACGGCCGAAGAGGTAGCTGTGATAAAAATCAAAAAAGTCAGTTCAAGGCTTATGCAATAAAGAAAAAGTGGAAATGAAGACTGACCAAGTAGAGAAGGGGCTGCTAAAGCACTACCCAAAGAATTTTCGTTGGCATCCAAAAGGACACCCTGATCATAATCATCTCGAGCGCAGCGATAGGGCTTGAGTGAAGCTATGTTCGGTCTGATGAGACTTTGAAGTGAGAAATGAGATGAAGCCATCTTGTCAATCGCCACAAGAAATTTTAAGGAAAGTCAGAATAAGAGTTGTCCAAAGCTGTATGTATGCGCCCCAAAAAATTATCAGATGAGACTTTCAAAAACCCGAGTTTCGGAAATCAAGCTCAGCACCGCGAATTTCGGGAACCCCGAATCGTATGTACCGAAAAAACCCCGGACAGATCTCATCACATATCTCGTCTTTTAAGTTTTGAGGCTTCCTCATCCTCTCCTTCATCCTCTGCATCTGCTTTAAGAGCTCATACCAACAATGCATATTGACCAGGACAGAAAATCTAAGCATGCTTAAATATGCTAGTGTCTTAGATATTGACATTTATCCAAACCGTGGTATCAACTGGAGATGGACCTATTCATCTATGCCGATGTCACGTTTTTTTGCAATCTCGCCTTTCAAACCAGGACGTCTCTCAAGAGATCAGGTAGCGCTAGAATCATTGGCAGATGTTTGATATTTTCAAAGACTGTTGCAGAGAAGGCAAAGTCTAAAAGTGGTCTAATCGCCGATCGACAAACTCATCCTAACTCATCGTCCTTGAGACCCTGAGGCGCCCTACTCCAAGCGGCGTTGGGACTCGCATTTTTCCGCTCCCGATGGGACAGATATGATCACAAGTCAAGGCCAGTACCTGCAAGCGACTCCCCAAAACTTTCATGATCTGGCTCAATGCAGAAACAACTTTCCTTCCCTCAAACTCAAACTAGAATCCCTCATCAAGCTTGTGTTCTCATCTTGCCCAAGCCGCCTCATCTGCACTTTCATTCTACCTATTGCCCATCGTTTTTGCACTTTTTAATTTTCATCCTTCACGCTTGAGGTCTGCTTCGAAAAGCATTTAATATCACCAATACTTTATTCAATACGGCGTCCTTTGATTTATTCTACACAATCTTTCACCTTTCATTTCGTCGTGATGAAGACTCTGACTCGGACTCTCTCTTTTATCAAAACTTTCGCTTTTGTTTTACTCATTCTATCATGGACATGTGGTGTGGCCAAAGCTCATTGGCATCCAAATGCGATTTTAAGGATCTCCAAAGGCTTTTTGGCTGGAGATTGCACCGTGAGACCTTCAGTGATTATCAATGGTACCTCCCCTGGACCAGAGCTTCGGTTCAAAGAAGGACAACGCGTCTGGATAAGAGTCTACAACGACCTTCCGGATCAAAACACAACTTTACACTTCCATGGATTGAGTCAATTTGGCTCACCCTTTGCAGATGGAACACCGGCCACTTCTCAGGTTAATTTCACAATCCTTAAAACGCAATGATCACATCACGCTCGCACTAGAGTCTCAATTGATGTTTTTGTTTGCTCTTATTCTGTCTAGTTTCCAATTGCTCCTCACTCGTATTTTGATTATGAGTTCCAACTAGAATCTGGTAGCGCGGGGACATAGTAAGTGATACTCATGTGGTCTGGTATCTTCTACTTTTCAGGATCTAGCACACTGATGTTTTCTTTGGATCCGATATCAAGCATGTATCATACTCATGTTGACTTTCAACTTGTAACTGCGCACGGCGCTTTTATTGTTGAAGATGAGGGCCCACCGCCGTACTCCTATGACGAGGAATTGACTTTACTTTTTGGTGATTACTATCATCAGAGTGACTATCGGATCATGTCATGAAACTACAAGCCACACCTTTTCAGTGGCCAGGTGAGCCTTCGAGCTTGACTGTGAACGGAAATGCACTGGCGCACTGTGATCCATCTCGCGGCTACCGCTGTAGTGGGGAATGTCATCAGCACGTAATGAATTTAAAACCCAGCCGAACGTATCGTGTGAGGTGAGAGTTATATCTAATTGGTCTGGTGATTAGACAAAACAACATCTAAAGTATCTGTGTGCTTCACAGGTTCATTGGAATCACCGCCCTGACTTTCCTCTACATTGGCCTCGAAGACCATCATGAATTCGAAATCATAGAAGCTGATGCAGCTTACCTAAAGCCTACGCGGACTGACCACCTTGAACTGCATTCGGGACAGCGTTACTCCTTCTTATTACGTACCAAAAGCAGGGCTGAACTTCGTGCGTTGAACAAGACAACTTTTTGGGGAAGAATTGAGTCACGATGGCGGCCAATTCGTGACAAAGGATCATTCGTAATTACGTATGACCGTGGATATGAACAAGAACTCGCGACTTTTCCACCACGCAACTTGGCAAGAAGAGTTTTCCTTCCAGATGAGCGTGTTAGTTGGGTCAACCGGGCCTTCGCGCCTCTCCGCCAACATGATGTCTCACCCACAGAACAGGAGGTGACCCGGCGCATCATGATCCGTGCTCAACAATTGACAACAGCAGGTGGTGGTTCACAATATTTTGTCAATGGACAAGCGGTTCGTGATGAAAAGTTTCTTTAGATGCCACTCTTACATAAGAGAACTGAAGTCCTTGTGCATGATTAGTACTCCGAGAAATTTCCAAAAGTGCCATTCTTGGTTCAGGCATACTTGAACCCGTCCTCTTTGCAGCCAGACTACGGACAAGCGGAAGTGAACCATGGATATGACTCGTCTACCTCATCATTTCCTTTGCGACTAGGGGAGACTGTGGAAATTGTAATCTTCAATTTTGCTTCAAGCTTAGGTGAAGCCGAAGCACATCCATGGCAGTGAGTCATTAGTCCATGACTTTTACAAGAGACATTTCTTAACCTGATCTCGTCGCTTGCAACAGTTTTCATGGACAGCATCCGTTTATGGTCGCCCAAGGATATGGAAAATATAGTCCTGAAGCAGCGCGCCGGATTGAGGCCCAAAATTTTGTCAAGTATGGAGGTTTGCCACATCGACGAGATACTCAAGTCATCCTTCCCGGTCAGGGCGCTACCTATGAGGACGAGAAAATTGCTGAAGGAACACTGTCAAGTTGGATAGTTCTACGGATGCGAGTTTCAGTCAGCGGAGCATTTTTAGTGCATTGTCATATCCAGGTAGGCCCAATCTCCTATAAGTCCTCCCTCTCACCCCGCCATCTCGTTCCCCGGCTGCGCATCGTATATCAGCGGGTGTGAACCAAATATTTAAGCCATTTTGGTGTACGTCGATGTCTACTCGCTCTGGCCCGTCGCTACAGGTACCACGTCCCTCCTCGCTGCTCAGTCGATGACTGAAAGAGTTAGAATTTCCAAGCATACGAGGAAGAACGCACGAAATTTCAAATCCCACCCCCGTTAAAGAACAAAAAACCCTCCTACATACCCTGTTCCCCAGCTCTTAAAGCTGATTAAGACTAAAGAAGTTGCGATATTGTTGTCACTCCAAGGTCTTACTAACCTCTTGTTATCCTCCATTATTGAAATACCGAAGCCGCATGCAATCATGGGAATGGCCACTGTCTTTTTGATTGGAACAGATAAACTCCCCCCTCTACCAACTAAGTTTATCCGCCAACATGCGTAAGTGGTTTCCTAACTGCCAAAGACTATACTGCAGTCATATCGTCTCATATCATTTTCAATTTTAGAACTTATAACGCCACTACACCAGATACACCAACTTCTTACTTTGATCTAATGCAGATTAAAAATACATTGACAGAATCATCAAAACACGAGTATCCAACAGATGCAAGTATGAAGGACTGGCTGTAGTAGGCTATCTTGATTATGACAATTAGATAAATCTGCTAGAAAAGTGTGACATTGAGTGATCACCTGACTGGGAGCATTTAATGGCAAAAGATAGATCCAAGGAGTTGATGGAATTGGTGATTTTCCTCAATGCCCTCTTGTGTTGGTGACCCTGGGCAGGACCTTACTCACACAAGCTGGGCTACCCCCTGGTGAATTTGAAATGCCACTTTAATTTCTTAAAATGTAGCACCATTTTTCTTACCACCATGCAATTTTTTTCTCCAAATCTTGAGAATGGGAGCTTTCCCAGGTGTAACTTGTCACCTTATGTATACAGCCAATTTGAAATGAATGACCTCTTTTGTGGAAAAAAGTTGTTGCTGCAGTGGTCAAAGCCAACCAAAAAACTTTCTTACAGGTTTTATGTTATGTATATTCTCAAAATTAGCAGAGAAACCAAACTTGGTCAAAAAGAAAAACAGGTTTTACACCATGATGCACTTTTCAAAATAAATCAGACATTCTCAAATTGGCTGTAATTCATGTAAGTATTGTGCCACCATCTACTTGTGTACCTGGTAAAATGTGTATATATGGGAAACTTACCTGCCGTTAGCAGGCGTGCTGGCGGGTATTGTAGCTCCACAAAAGCTGTTCAGGGCTGGATTTGAACCAACGGCCAGGTGCTGGGTCTGCACACCGGACCCAATTCATGTCAGGCCACTTTATCACTATAGGCTACCTGGCCAGTTACAATTTGAGGTGTCACTATTTTGCTACAAAGTATGACCTACTACCACGTGACCGCCATTAAGGTCACAACTGTGGGGGTGGGATAGGATCATGTGGGGAGGTGGTGGGTGTTGGATTATTCAGAAGAATCAAGAATCAGGAACTGGCATTTGAAGCTATCAAAATGAATTGACATGCCTCAGGTTAGTGCTGGGCTCATAACCTGATGATGCACAGAAGCTGCAAAAAGATGTCAGCACTCCAATTATGATATGAGTAAGAGAGAAACAGAGTGTTGGCACAAAGGATAGTGCTTGAGATACAAATGAACAAGATCAACACTCGCACAGTAGTAGGATCCGAAGAGTACAAGTTTATATATGGGATCATACAAGCATTACTTTGTGTATAAGCCTAACATTAATTTGATATTGTGAATAATATGATTTGAAATGATCTTGAGATATGTGGGATTAATTGTTACTAATGTATAAATGTAATATGAATTAATGTGAGTTAATATATATGTCAACATTATTTCTGCTTCCCTAGCCGGATTTCTGAAAGGCAACTCCTGCACTCCATTGAAACAAATCCTGACATGAACCATAGATGGATCAGGTGATGAATTTGTTACTTTACAACTTATCCTCTATTTTGCAACTGTATCAGCAATATTCCACTTGGTTCATTGAACACCAGACACACCTCCCATATGTTACATATAGGAGGTATCTTGATGACTACAGTCTGACCTGCGCAAATGTATACCCGCGCAACTGTATAACCCGTGAAAATGCATAGTTCAGGGGTTCTCCCCACGTGGTGCGGGCCAAATTTTATGCTTATTGCATAATTATGCCAAAAACCATAATGCATAACTTTAAAATGAAAAAACTGGGTCTTGAAACCCATAATGCATAGGTCAACTGGGAGCAAACAGAAGCAAACAGACCAAAACATCAAGCATGCCTGCCAGTGAAGAGCCCTCTCTGGGGGTGGAACCCCTCAAATACAACACCAACGATCCAATTCACTTCACACGTATTGGTAACATCATCTATCTTGCACCTTCCTCAAAAATCCCGGCAGACTTTCCACCCGATTTAATTTCAGAGGAGCATGATCTTCATTTACTAGAAGCTGGACTCAAAAGCCTTGTGGACGCTGCTCAAATACGCACCGACAAACTTGAATCACAACAAGAAGCCAGCGAAAAACTCTCGAACGAAGACGAGGATTGGCTGGACAACGGAGGTAATTACGTGACTGAGAAAGTTCTGGTAGATCTGTTCCTCTCCAGTGAAGAAAACGAGCCACGAAGATTATCAAGCCGTTCAACAATTAATTTCTTCTTATCAATTACAATTATTGGAAGCCAACAAAAAAAAGATGAATCTAAAAACTAAAAAGATACAATCCCGACCCCGCTCTTCTCGGTACTCCGGATTTGTTCCTCAATTCTTGGTCCGGTCCACCTGGAGGAGATGGAGACCCACCCTATTTATAGTACCTACTGATTGCTTTTCTGTTGTTTCTCTTTTTGTTTGATTGCATTTCCCTCAAATTCCTTTTGTTGGTGGACTTTTCTTCTGTCGTCAATTGATACCAATCATGTCATACACATTCTTTTAGACCATTGGGCAATATTCTTTGTGCTTTTTGCTTTGGCTGCACACATTATGATTACTTTTCCTTTGGCCAACACTCGACTCACAACGAAACACATAAAAGGCTCATGTTTTTTGGAACGGGGTCACACCAACCAATCCCTTTCCAAACTATTTCTCACCACAAGTCCCTGATTAAACTTATTTTGCAAACCACTTCGAGCCAATCTTCAACCTTTGCCGTTGTCCTTTGTCTGGTCACAAATGTAGATGATGCTTTATACACGTTATTCATAATGCACACATATGCTGACACTGCAAAGCAACCATTGATTGTTGAGAAAACGAGGAACTGGCAAACTCATCTTGAAGATGGGAATATAATTTTCTGTAGGAATTTCGATTTCAATTGAAGGTGTGATGTGTTTTTGAAACAGAAATGACACATGAGTCTGCTTTTTAAGGTTTTTTGGTAGGAACACTGAGGCACGAGTTAACTGTAAAACATCAAAAGTAGAGTCATGTAGGAGCCTTCTCGCCCTTGGAACAGGAAGTATGCAATCAGGACTGTCACATGCGCCTGGTCTCAAAGGTTAAGCTTCAACATTTCCAAAAATGTCTTGAAAACCGGATTGACAAAAGAAAGTGTACGGGCAAAGATTGTTCAACTTCTCACTGACTTAAAAGCAGGTGTCCAGTGCTTCCTGAGATTATTCCACTTAGTTAGCACTATTGAGATGGTAAATAAAGTGGGGTAGGTAGTGTGTAATGTGAAATCTGGTTCAACCGTGTGCAAGTCTGGTTTAATGACACGTTACATCTTGTAGTTACTTTACACCAAATCAACTGCACACCATGAGGTGCTTTTGAACTGTTGCGGGCTTGCCCGCATGTTCTCTAGTAAACGTAAAAAGTCCTCTCTCACCAACGATAGTGACAATAAAAGAGCTCGCCCCCGTTCCTCTCTCTCAAAGGCTGTACAATCAAAAAGATCAAACCGAGATCCTTCAAGCCAGAAAAACAGTCTCACCTACGGTCAGCGCCTAGAAGTAATTCAATGGTTCTATGCAAATGGCAAAACTCAGACTAAGACTTTTCAACACTTTTCAAAGATTCATCGCAACATGAGCATCAGTCAACCCAACATCAGTCGTTGGCTCAAGGACAAGGACAGAATTCGAGAATTAGCTGGTAAAGTCAGTAGCCAAACAAAGCGAAAGGCAGATGTCAAGTTCCCCGAAATTGAAGAACAGCTTGTGACATGGATACGTATGTTCAAACAGCTTGGCCAATCTGTCACCGGTGATCAGATCAAGGAGAAGTGGCGTCACTTTGCTCGGCTTGGAAAAATTGACAGCAAGAACTGGCTCACTCTTTGCGGCGGGTGGCTCGACTCTTTCAAGGTTCGACATAACTTGCGTGAATTCAAACAACACGGCGAGGCTGCATCTGCCGATCCTGAGACTGTTGAAGCCGAGAAGGAGCGAATGCTTGAGATCACTGCCCAGTATGAACCAGTCAATGTTCATAACATGGATGAGACCGGCTTATTTTATGCGTCAGTCTTGTTCTTTGTATCTGCATCTGTTCTCTTTTTGTCTTCCGATCTCTTTTCTCATCTCTTTCTTTCCCTTCTGAAACAGCATGCCTCCAGACCGAGGCCTAGCAAGTGTAAGCACTCCCGGTGTGAAAGGCTCAAAATCTAGGATTACTGTTGTGTGTGTCTGTAATGCAACTGGATCCGACCAGCGTCACCTCACTTTCATTGGCCGATGGAAGTCTCCTCGAGCATTCAATAAGAAGACTGTGTCCGCTCTAGGAATTGATTATCATAACAACAAGACATCATGGATGACATCCTTTATCTTTGACCTTTGGATTCGAGCATGGGATCGACAACTCCGAGTTGATGGCAGGAAGATCTTGCTCCTACTTGACAACTTTTCGGGTCATAAAATAGGCGATAACATCCTCACCAACATCCATCTGGAATTTTTTAAGCCCAACCTTACCGCTCATGTTCAACCACTTGATGCCGGTATCATCCATGCGTTCAAGGCACATTATCGTAAACGATTCCTTACCCGTGCTTTCCGACGTCTCAATCATGATGTTGCCGCTAAAGACGTTTATGACATTGATATACTCACTGTGATGCGCCTTGCTAAAATAGCTTGGCATTCTGTGACCAAAGAAACAATCAAAAACTGCTGGGGTCACACTGGTATCATAGACTTTAAGGACGGAGTCAAGTATGCTATTTTACTCCTTCTTTATACGCTTTCATGTCATAGCTAATACATATGATCTCATTCTATTCTCTGATCGATAGACACCATTTAACCGATGCTCAGCTATCCAATCTCAATCCGGAGAACATTGATCTTGATCAAGGTTTACAGAACCTTGTCAAAGCTGGTCTTCTTTTGCCAATCAACCGCATGTCAATCAGCGAGCTTCTGAATCCCGAGGATGAGACACCTGTTATTGACAGAGTTCTGAGTGCCGAAGAAATTGTTGAGCAAATGAACACGGCTGAAGAGGAAGCGGAGGCCGAACCAGATCCCGAACCACTTCCCTCAGCTGCTGAGGCTTATAAAGCTACATCTCTCCTGATTGCTCGAATCGAGGGTACTGGGGATATGGAAGGACTCGAATTAGATCACTTATTACAGAAGTACCTGACTAAACTCGAGTCTGAAGTTGCATTTGGGAATAAAAAGCAATCATCTATCACAGAATATTTCAATTAGTTGTTATCTTCTTTTTAAATCTATGAATTCGTTGTAGGATACAATAATATCAATAACTACATACTTATATACTACCTACATAACCAATGAAATTGAAAAATCCCCACTCTTCTCGCTTTCTCACATAAAACCTGTCAAAATGTATAATTTTATGCATTTAGGCCATTTTGCATACATTATGCAATTGTGAGTTTTACCCCTCTGTGCATAACCCGCGTAATTGCATAGCTTGGCCTTTCCACCCAAATTATGCATTTGCGCAGGTGCGACTGTAGGATATTGTGGTGATGTATGATATCCTAGTCCACCTTGTTTAGATGAGGTAGTGTGCTCAATTGGGTTAAGGGTGAGTATTGGGTACAGATAGGGGGGCACACTTGAGTACACAATACTCATACTGTCTCTTGTGCAAGTTACACAGCTGGGCTGTACAACTCAGTCACTGAATTTTGAGATTTGGGTAAGTAATCAGCCACAGGGGGAAATGGTCTGAAGTAGGTATGAGCTGGGTACACTCACACTTGTTATAGATGAGGTGACAAGGCACTGTATGTGGCTAGGCATCCAGCCTGGTCTCACCTCTTTTTGTTTCAGCCTAGATGGAAGATAGAGAAAGATTTAGATTAGAACTGGTATCACTATTGCTCTTAGTGCCATTGTTGTAATGCTGTGCCAAACTTGCCTTAAAGAAATATTCTGTATTTCTTCCTATCTTGTGTTTGTTCTCTATTGTCACAGATCACTTTGTTTTAGTAGACTATCAAACTGGCACTAGTTTACTACATTGATCCTTATCTTTCTCTTATGCAATTGTCACAAATCACTGCGTTTTGGTAGAATTTTAAACTGACACTAGTTCACTAACTCTGTTCTCATTTTGTTTGTTCCAATAATATTTACACCTGAATTTCTGCATATGTATTTCAATATAGCTCAGGCATCCATTACTTGGGAGTAAAAGAAGGGTTGGGAAACTTTGTAGTGGCCACTGCTACCCATTACAATATGACTACTTTACAACACATAGCTCTCTCACTTTGGAAATACTCCATAGACCTAACACAACAGCAACCAAAACAGATGTCTTCCTTGAATTTTGTTGTTGATAGTGTGGATCCAAATCTTCAGCTTCCTTTCAAGGCCCATTCTCCTTATCCACCCCTAACCACACCCACACCACTCATTAGGAGAACTTATCAAGCCCCACTGTGGACTGCGAGCTGAAGAACAACTCTCCATTATAGAGCATTCAATGCTTGTGCATCAATTAAATCATTCACAAGCCTTCAAGTATTCTGGTATTGGCCAAGAAAAGGCCTAGGAAGTTAACAATGGCTCAAGTTGAGACTCTTCCATGATTTTGCGCTAAACATATGATAGCTTTGACACAAGTCTGCCGTGGCCTTGGTGTGGGGACCTGTGCCATGATGACTATTTTATAGGTTTGCTGAGAATGTCTTGAGCCAATTTTGTTGAGATCCCTTGGACCAAATATTTTGATTTCAAATTCCTGATCTTGGAAAAGGAAATGTTGTGTGTAGTTGATTCTCATCTTGCACTTTGGTAGAATGCTATGGAGTAGAGCATTTAAAGGGATAGATGCCATCCAGGTCCCAGACTTGTTCAAGGAGATCAATATAATCAGATCTTCACTTCTCCTTCTCCTTGCCTGGACTATCCAAGATCTCACAAGACCTCATTTTTATGTGTTCCTCTCATTTTCTTGACCTTTTCATCTTCTCTTCTCTTCAAAGGTTTGGAAATGTCATTCTGACAAGGTCTGATTCAATGGGATTGTTGATTTTTGGGTTGAACAGGGTGGAGGCCAAGCTTGGGAAGGATCAAGATGGTTTTGTTTGTGGAAAGGTTCTGCGCACACTGTACAAACAGACACAGAAAAGATATGTCACCTTCAGGGCCAAAACATTGCTATCACAGATGTATAATAACACCCAAATGTAAGCCAGTTTGGCCCCAAGGATGATGTATCTTTTCTGTGTCTGCTTGTACACTTAGGTCTCACAGTTGGACAAATACAACACCTGCATGTCAGAAAGGGATAATCATACATAGCATATTGAAGCAGCTCCTGGGTAGCAGCTACTTTTGCTTCACAAGCCTTTGAGTGTTCTGTGTTACTTGATTTCTGTGATACAAATAGTCTTTTATTGTATTGCAGGCTTCATGTCAATTTTTAGATGAATTGGTTCTGTGTCCCTTCATGACGGTTGAATCAACCTTTCTTGCCACATGTGCAACCTACAGACACTGCTTTTGGAGACCTTCTTTTCATATTTCTTTCCATTCATCTTGTGTGTGTCCATGCAATGATGATGACAAGGTTTAATGAGAATGAGAGATTAAGAAGAATACATACAAACTCACTTGAACTTACTCATTCAATGCATGATTGACTTCGCTAAAGTATGGGTACTAGTAGGCTCATCACCCTATTACTTTTCAAATTCTGATTTCCTATTGAACATCTCAAGCTCTCCTTCAACAACACCTTCAATCATTTATTTAGGCAAAAGTGTTGAAAGGTCAGAAATCATCACCCTATTTTCAAACACAAATCATTGTAGCTTCAAGGAGGTATCAATTCATTGTCTTACCTTGGGCTGTATCATAATGAAGTCTGTCATCAATCACCTCAAGATTTGTAAGCCTCTTCAAATTTATGAAAGGTGATTGAAGTTCACAGTATGGGAATAAAATAAGCAGACCAGAAAATTCATTGTGATATGGTTCAAGAGGGTATACAGAATTCATGCTCATACAATGTTCAATAAAAAAATAAAAAATAGGTAAAACTATAGCACAGTCAACAATCATAATCAATAGCGCGCGTTTTATAGAAAATCGAACGAAGAATGTCCATGTGAATAAGGAGGTAGAGATTAACATTCAATGCTTTCCCGGAGTGATTGCGCCAACGCCCCATGACGTGAGAACCTTTGAGCACATTGCCCGTAGATGGCTTGCCCTCTCGTCGTCCCAAATCCCCAGCGATATGAACTCTCGCCCATATTGCATGCAAGCTTCCTGGTGAAACTTGGTGTATAGCCTGGAAGAGATTGAATCCTGTATGAAGCCAAAAGATTTGGTTAATGACTGTTTCAGTGTGCAACGGTAATGAGGTTATCAATACTTACCATTAAGCGCTGAGCGTCGTTTAATTCCCTAGCCTTAACGTGCATCCTCTCCAGCGTAAAAGCCCATCCACGCGGGGTGACCCACAGCTCCGCTCCACTTAGATACATCTGGTAAACACAAGCTGCTTTGTTGACTTCGAAGCGTTCAGTACACCACGCCTGACCCTCCCGTGACATTATGAGATTCGGTGCGTAGTTCAATTCGTAATTAGACACTCTGTAGAGTTCATCACCTCCTCCTACTTTACCTGGCGCTACTCCTAGGCCAATTCCACCACCTTCTTCAGCAGACCTTTGAAGAAGCTCATCACCTTTCAATATTTTCCATAATGGCCAGTTTGTTGGGCCCTTGGTCGGCTGCCAAGAACGGTCAAAGAGAGAAATTGGAGTCTCGTGTGGTTCGTCCGTATCAGCTAGGCTAACTAGTCCTTCCTTGCTCGTAGGCCATTCTGAACGAGGCAGTTTTAGTGAGGTGAATTCGCTCTTCAAGTATTCCACTGCAGTCTCCGTATCAATATTTTCTTTCGGGATTGGGCTAGCCTTTCTGTTGCGCTCTATACCAAATGTAGGTACAACGATTGCATCGCCGTAGTCGAGCACTCGACGACGAATTGTGGCGTCATCCACCAGACTCTGGTAAAGACCAGCGCCAGGCGTGACCCGAGCATCTCCAACTAGCCAAACAAGGTCAGTTCGACTGAAGAAACGTGCAAGATTGAGGTGAGCATTTGTCGCAAGCGGGGCGGTGAGCATACGCTGAAGTGTGTGATCGCGGCGTAGATCAGAAACGGCATTAAAGACGAGATGGAAATCAACGAGGGCTCGGATAGCTGGATTATCGACCCGTAGACGCTCAATAGCTGAAATCAACTCGTGGCGATCAGATGAGGTAGATTCCACAACCAGGCTGATGGGACCAGGCCACTCAGTAAGGAAATCGGGTAGCTGAGCAAGCCAGAAGGAGTTGGTGTACAAACACGCAGTGATTGCAGAGGTTTCCACAGGGTTAGTCGACTTGAAGAAAAATGGGCTGATGTCGGAGGTAAATTCACTGCCAAGCTTAGAGTGCATCTTCGCAAATCTTGCAGCATGTGGAAATATACTGAACGGATCTGCGTTCAAGTTGAGCTGACCAGATAGACGACCTCCTGTGATACAAGAACAAAATGTTATAAGTAGAGCACTCAAATTTACTGATGGCAAGTTTACTGATGGCAAGTGAAAACCTAGGAGAGTATGACTTACCCGAGCTACTATGATTGATCTCGACAGGTCTCCTTTTGAGAGCTACGTTTGGATCCCAAGCTGTATCTTGTGACTTGACATCCTCGACTGATACCGGAGAAGGGTTCACCAACGAGGTAGCATTTTCGTTTGTTCCAAACCGAGCTGAAGCCCAGTCGCGTACCCAGGCTAGTTCTTCTACTTTTCGAATGACCAGGCGCGCTTTCAAGGCTTTGAATTTCCCTTGACTCTTACTGGTGACCAAGCCGAATCTCACGCACATCTCTTGACTGAAGATTGTGATAGAAAAGAAAACATATAAGAGCGCGAGTAGATTGGGGAGCTTTCTTCCGCGAGGTTTTGAATGAGGTGAGAAACCAGAGCTTTTAGAAATCGTTGAAGAATGTAAGAATTCTGGAATAAAAATAAGTGATCCAAATGGAGCAAGTAGGAATTGAAGAAACCCGAGCGGTAAGAATAAGAAAGTGCGAATTAAATAGCGGAAGGAAAGCGAGTCTTTTTTATCGGAGTGACTAGCGCTATTCTCATAACCAGAACTGGAAGATGGCCAACCACGAAGAAAGGTGTATATAAAGCTTCGAGGTGGATCAGAAGATGACGAGCCGCTAGAGGATGCCGTGAGAAAATCTATGGGCTTTTCAGACCAAGTAAGTGCAGGCACATTGATGGGTGGAGGAGCAGTTTTCCGTAGCGTAAATTCCTGTGGACGATTGGCGTTGTCAAGACTAGTGAGTCGGCGGTGAGTAGTTGGTTGACCGGTGCGAGAGAAGCCAGCGGGAGGAACAGCGGTGCTGGTTATTGTGACCGTTGCTGTAACGGCAACAGATGAAGAAATCCCGGCAGCAGGGGAGCACGGTGGATTGCCAGAACGCTCAAATTCAATACGAGTGTCTTCCCTGCGATCAGGGGAGGAAGATGACTTGGCTGAGCAGTTCATGATGGAGAAGGATTGATCACTTTGGCTTGGTGAAAGAAAGTGACGACCTGATGGTGAGCCGGCGCGAGCGCAACCTTGCCCGAGTTCATACTCGAAGAAAGTGTGAGAAGGGCTGTCTATCGTACTACTAGATAATGTGCTACGGTTTTTTTCATTTGAAGCTATTCTGGAAATTCTAGGAGTCGTCTCTGGCGTACCAAGATAAGGTGGAGTAGAAGGGTTTGATGAAGAATGATCGAAGCCAAAGCGCTGAGACGCCCATTCAGTCGAAGACGGCAAGGCCTTACTGCCTGATCCTTCTGTTGTTGATGTCGAGTCTTTTTGTTGCTTAGAACTGGGTGAAGGATTGATGGAGTTGGAGCGCTTTCTGGGACCAGGGCGTAGAGGCATTTCGGCTGAGCTCAATGTTCGAAGATGGAGATGGAGACTCAGATTGGGTTTAGAGGTGCAAATGTTTAGAGGCAGTAGTCGAGACGAGTTGACAATTGTGATGGGCAAAGAGGTCGGAAGGGTGGGGCCTGGGTTGGACACGGTCAGGAAGAAATGATTGCGCTCGAGGATTGGCGAAGCGCAAGGCCCCTCTGAATGGTGAATACTTGTTTGATTAACCGTCCCCAGGCCAGGATGGGTTGAATGGTCAAGCAGGGCACGTTGACTGTCATTTGTGAAGGCGCACACAAAATAGGTTATTGGAGGTGATCACGGGTTAGACCGCTAGTGACTCATTAAACGAAACATTTGATCAGTTTTGAACCACCGCGTCAATACGGCATTCGACCTGAGAGGCAGTAGATAGAAAGGGACAAAGCTGAACCGGCACAGGGGAAAGCATTGAAAGAAACTCTAACACATGCTGTATCACGGTGCCCAAGCGGACAGGAAAACAAAACTGATCCAAGAAGGAAATAAAATCGATACCAAACTAACATCGCCTTGGAGAGAAATCTGATCGGACCATAAGGCGGGATGATATATCCTGACTCTGTTGTAAGTCGACGCATCCAATGTGATGAAGAACATGCTTCTTGAATCGTTGAGGATGACTCCAACAGTTAAACAGCAATGTTGAAACTGCCTATGCATAGTACTCTGACCTTCAAAGTAAATTTCCCGTTGGTGGCTCCAGCGGCGCAATTCCATCACAGTCACACTTACGACCTCACTAGCACATCTTATACCCTCGAGTCGTGCGTTTTGCTCCAAAATCACTTCGAGTTGAACAAACATGTCGAATTTCTTCATCTCACTACATAGTCACGCAGAATCGGAGCGCAACTACCGAGATCTAAGACATTGAAATTTCTCGGTGGTTTTCCGAGTGACTATCCCGTGTCTGGCAGACAGCCATAGAAGTCAATAATTTCACCTCTTCAGGCCAGGACTATAAAACACGCTTTATGAGGTAAACGGCAGGATAGCAGATCTGCAGAAATCTTCTGTTGAGGAAGGATGCAAAAAAGTGGAATGAATTACATAGCAAAGTACATACAAGCATTAAAAGTTTGCTCTTGAACACTAATCAAAATGAACGAATAAACAAACTAGACCAACAAAAGAATAGCATTGAGAATGAACAAGAAGATATTAAACTTGCGGAGGAGGTACAATGATTGAACCAGGCGGACAACATGCTTCTTGATCACAAGCTTCATCACATTGAATCAAACAACCCTCTTCTTCCTCCTGGAAAAAGTTTGGACATGCAAGATTAGCTTTGTTTGCCCACAAATTTGTGATATCAGACTAAACACGTACAGTTTCTGGTCTAGTCTCTTGGGTGGAGTTTTGCCGTGATAGAAGGAAGGTTTTCACTTTCTGGCCTAATCCTGTAGGTGTAGCAGGTGGAATTGTTTGCTGCTGTTGTGGGGTTCCATTGTTGGTCGGTCGCAAGAGATGAAGCTGATCTTCTTGTAGTACTTCTGGCTGGATTGTACTTTTTTCCCCAGGCATGTCAACGAGTCAGCCCCATCTGCCCAGCGAAGGTTGACGAGTCAAAACAAACCTTGAATGGATACCAAAGCGATGCAGCCGCTTGCGGATCTCCTTGCTCACTCCAACAAATTCGTTTTGTTTGTCTATTAGAACATGGACAGATGCTACCAACTTCGATTCTGACAAACTCCATATATGTAACTCTATTGAATGAATTTGCTTTATCAGTGTACAGTCGCTTTTTCCGTATGTAAGTGTAAGAAGTCCTTACCATGAACTTGAATGACGCCCTTGACATCCAGTAACGATTTTCGTACTCTCCCTAGATTTACATTCGCAGGTGTACCCTGCAATAAGATCAGACTAGCGGATCTCACTGTGAGGCGCAGCTTGTTTTCGTCAATCTCATGCTGATGAATTCAGTCGATAGAAATTAACGTACCGAGTGGAATAGCCGAAGAAAATATGATAGCAGTGATGACAAGACTGATGACGGGATCAGCATACAAGACCCAACGATTACCTACAATTAGACCACCGGACTTGATAACGGGGATCACCCAGATCAAGATCCCAGTCACAATCACACCTACATTGCCCAAGGCGTCACCAAGCGCATGTAAAAAGATAGCATGCATATTCATATGAGAGTGTGAATGTGAATGTGATTCGGAATGCGAATGCTTTTGGTCATCCACTTGTTCTGAAGAGTGAGGATGGTGGTGATTTAATTCATCACGACGTTGTTCAGCGGCTCGCACTATGTTATTGCGTGTTTGAGCGGGATGAACACAGAGTTCGTTTCTCAACGATTGAGGATCGGAATCGTCATTGGACACTATCGAAGTTGATGAGGATTGATTTTGACTGCTAGGGTTCAAGAGTGGAGTTTGTTCATGAGGATGAGAATTATGATGGTGTGCTTCATGATCTATATCATGAGAATGGCTATGATGGGAGTGAGAGTGACCATGACCATGCTCTGTGTGGTTAGGAGCAGTGTTAAAAAACTCATGTGAGTCAGAATATCATATCCGCACATGGATAAACGGCTTACCATGGAAGAGGACTAGACCGACGATATTCGAAGCTAGCCCTAAGCTACCTACTATAACCACGAGTTTAGGGTTTTGAACCTCTATTGATAAAGTCATGGGAAAAATCAAAGCTGGTCAGCAATGGAGGATAGGGCAATTGACAGGTTTTGTACAAAATAAACCCACCTGATGGGTTAAAAGCTCTCTGAATAGCTTCTAAAAATATTGAGAAACATAGAGCAACCAGAAAGACTCCATTGACAAGCGCGCCTGTAGGTGAATATGAGACAGTAGTTAATTTGATAGAGTCAATGCTGCAGATTTGATAGAAAGAAAATACCAGCCTAAAATCTCAGCTCGTTGCCATCCATAAGAGTATTCTTCGGATCTTTTAGATTGAGAGGCAAGGTTGATAGCGTAAAGTGCGACGAGAAGTGAACAGACTGCAGGATTCGAAAGAGGATGAGAAAAATTCTTCATGACTTGGTAATGCAATTGATATCCGACTGACCATCGTTGAGCATCTGGTATTAACAAAAACTTTACTTTAGCGTGATAGATTTATAGGTGAGAGGCAGATAGAAAGCACTCACATGAAAACTATCGGCTATGAGTGCAAGACTACCGACTGAATAGCCGACTGTAATCAAGAAATGAAATGATTTATTGTTCAGTAAAGTTGCTTGAAGTGACTGTGGTTATGAAGGTAATTGGCTGACCTATGAGTTCGAGAAAGAAGAAAGCTAAATCGATGACAAGCAAAGTCTTGATTCTAATCGATCGACTCATCTTGAAGGTATTATTGCATGAATTGTTCAAGGTCAAGAGCTCAGCAATTTATCAGATCAAAGCCGCGGTCAACAAGGGTTTGGATTCTGAAGTTTGCATTTTCTAAAATTTACACAGCAAAACAGCAAGTCCGACCCGATCATCACAAGTTTGACCCCGATATTAATCAGACAGCTCAGCCTACAAGTATCAGCCTGACAGCCATGCGCAATTTTAATCTGATACATCAAATTCCCCAGAGTCCAGACTCCAAAGTCAATTCTCAAAACACCCTCAATTAGTTGATATAGTGAAGCTTTGGATATTTTCATTAGACTAGATAGGTTGATGAGAATTACGTGAACAAAGATAGCAATGCTAAAGTGATGGTAAAAACAAGAGGATCACCACAAAGACATTGTAAGACCCCAATATGCAAACAGTCATCAAACCAATTTATTGTATCTTGATGTGCTATTGGTGATGTGACAGTAGGGGACAGGTCACAGCCATTTCAACAATAGCTCTATTGCACATTTTTCTCACACGCAGCCTGCCAGATAGGGGCATGTGACTAGACCAATTCAGACAGTCAATCATGAGACAGCCCCACAGAGCCCCACACATTGTGGTGCTGTACAATACTCACAACTTGCCGTGAAATGGGGCTCATGGATTCCATGAAGCTCAAGATTTTTTGATCAGATTGATTCAATTGTGTCCCAGCTGCTTGCCACCAATGATGTGTTCATCAATAATTCATGCAACCCCAAGTTGGGAATTGATGGACATCTGTGGAACCTGAAAACAGGATTCCAGAGGTGTGCAGCTTGCGCACAGGAAGGGGAATCCAAGATACACCCAGGTGAATGTGACATGCCTTCTCTGTATGGGGTTTTACAGATTGTGGTACAGTGTTCATGCTCTTAGCAACTATCCACAAACAATTTGGTATTGAGGCTTCCCAAAATTGTCCTCCAGCTGCTCACCATCATTCCACCCAATCAGACTGAAACAAATTCACTTTTCCTGATACCTGATAAAACCGGAAGACTTCAAACAAGAACTTGTTCACCTCTATGATCATGCTACTCTGCTTAGATGCCACAAAAAATCAAACATAAACAAATAATAGTGATAACAAGCACCAACAATCTCTATAAATTTGTTTTGCAAATGTGTTTCAGGAAAAGGAGATCCTGGTCTATATATCTAGGAGAGTGTTCAGGTTAATTAAGATCCCATGATAAGCTCGTGCAAAATATGAGTACTGTCATGTGTGAAATAACCAATGGAGATATGTTGAAGTTATCAATTGCAGTGGCACACCTTCACATAAATGGGTTGTGTGTGGTGTAGCATATTCTTAGTTATGTATAGGCAAGTTGTTCAATTGGACGCACAATGGTTGATTTTATAAAAATGGAGGGTTGTTTGTCCAGTGGTGGTGCACTGGTTATATGTCTTACGGTGTCGTGTATGGAAGCCAAAGGGGGTGGATTGATGGCAATGGAGAGATGTTGTCTGTCCATCCAAGCAGCCCACCAAGAGGGAATCTGACTGGGTGTGGAAGGTTTGGTGCAATTATTGGATCCTCCAAAGGAATGTGAGGTTCCAGATGGGTGTTTTCAACAACAAAGATGGATGGGAATATCTATTTTGGTTGGGGTTGTGTGAAGTCTGTGGATGTTTTCCCAAAGGGGAAAGCTATGGGGTTTTTTTGGTTACAGTAGCCAAATTGTAGTGGGTAGCAGTAGCCAATACAAAGCTGCACAACCCTTTGGTTGCTCCCAAGGGGCTGTGGATGCAGAGAGATGATCTCATATTGAGAGTGAGAGCACTGCGCAGTCTTATGGTTTTGAAATTAGTAATCATAAACCAAATTTCCCACATCTGCATCTGTCACTCTTCACCAGAGCATTCACACACATAACAACACTTTACAGCATATCTTGTCCTTTCACCCAATTTCAATTTACCCTATCTATAGTGGGAACCATCAAGAGCCACTTAATTGGATAATTTTTCAAAAAAGATTGCCGAAGTCACAAATATCACTCAATTCACAAATCAAGATATTTTTGCTTGTTAAGGGCTATTCAAAGATATCCTCAGAAGACCAATTTTTGAAGTTCTTGTTTTTTTATTCCTGATGGTGTAGAACTCCTACGCAGTGTAGCGTAGGCTGAGCCGGAGAGGGGAAGAATCACCACTTGTGAGAGCGGATGAAACTACAGGTGCTGCAAAGCTGCCCTCGTCCTTCAAAAATGATTTCGAGTTTTAAGATGAGGCTTCTCTACTTTTCACTTCTTGTCTTTTTAAGTTTTCCCAAAACCTAATTTACACCACACGGTTGGATGCGCAGCGTTTGGCGGAGTCTAACAATACTACACACCACCCTACACAAGGTGGTAATGCAAGGATATGTGAACTGTGGTTGATTGTTGAATGTTACGCTGGTGTAACACAGCTGTACAGGACTGGAATAAATTCCCGAACCTGACTCGACCTGGCCTCGACTTGGATCAAGAGGCAGGTTTGGCAAAACTTGATGTAAATCACACAAAGTGTAATTATGATAGTAAAGAGGGGGAAAGGGTTTTATTGACGGCGGGGTCTTATCCGGAGGATTGAGTACTCGGACTCGGGGCCAAATTTCGATTTTTAGGTAATGAATGTAATAATAATAAGGATCCCGGTATCCCCACCACCCCCCCTTGGTAGCCCCACCACCCCCTCCCTTTCACAGCTAGTGAAAGCCTTACTTACCAGTGACACAAGCTGTGACAATTGTCCAGCCACACTGAAAGGTCCCTGGATTTTGTTTTCTCAAGTTTGCTCGGTATAAATAGCACTTAAAACAATTTTAAAGCACACATCAGCTAATCAACCTTCCCAAAAGCATTTAGCTTCTACTGGTTCACTACCTCCTCATGAATCAAAAAAATTGATACCAACTTCTAGAGAATTTGATGCGACTACTAGTTTGGGTTACTAATTTCCTTGGTCTTGGATTGGTCGTGCATATGAAGATTTTTAAGATTTGCATCATGCTGTGGGTCTTCAAATGTATCACTTGAGTTCGGGCCTCTTACTTCAGTAGGATTCTTTTAACTTTGTTTACAACTTTCTGTCCTTTGTCTCTGATAGCTCTTTTTAGCTGGCACAGTTGATGACACTCTAAAAAAATCGATCGTTCTGGTACATCGATTTTGAATTGGTCTGACTCACTGATCTTCAATCTTGGTTTTCAATTGGTCGTCTTTTTCAATTGGTCGGAGTAATATTGATTCAAGTCATCCAGTTATTCATATTCAATACTTGATTCTAATTGAATGATGGAATCACTGAGCCAAGAGGATCTTTGGTGAGCAAACTTGAGAAAACAAAATCCAGGGACCTTTCAGTGTGGCTGGACAATTGTCACAGCTTGTGTCACTGGTAAGTAAGGCTTTCACTAGCTGTGAAAGGGAGGGGGTGGTGGGGCTACCAAGGGGGGGTGGTGGGGATACCGGGATCCTAATAATAAGACTCTAACAAAGTTTTAAGACTATAGACTTCAATCACCGAGCTCAGCAAAAAAAGAAAGACAGAAGAGACAACAAAACACTTGATAACAATCAAACTCAAGCTAGGATCAGTCTTCTTTGTCTCTGTTATCAAAGAAGTTCTACTACTGACTCAAAAAAACTAATACTCTTATTCAATAACCTTTAGGACTTGAACTTCAAATACACAACGTGAACATGACACTAACACAAAAGCACTCGATGACACTTTATTATAACGCACACACACAAAAAACACACACTGAAGGACACAAAACACACAAACACACAAATTGATCTATAGATTGATTGATGGATTCATTCCTCTTTCCCCTCCTCTCAAGTGAAGCCCTCTTTATACATTTCCTCGATCCCAAACCCCAACTCGATCATTCACATCTCAGCTATCTCAACCCCAACCTGTTCTTTACCCCGACCGATCATTCTCAAAGTTGTTTAATGTCTATGTACGTATCTTCTTCTCATATGTATCTCTTCTTATATTTCGATCTCCAGCTCTGATTCCAATCTATAACTACTTCATTATAGGTTCTGCACCCCAAAATCGATCCCCCTATCAATAACATCTTCATCATGCTCTATCCAATTTCGATTTTGATCTTTGATGAAGGTATGAACCTTGGTAAGTCTTCTCTTCATTCTCTAAGAACTGTGACTCCATTCAAATCGATCCCAACCCCTTTCTAACTACCAACTTCAAAATCTCTCATCAAACTTTCATCTCTGATTTGTTTTCTCATTTCACATCCCACTAACACTTTCTACTTGTTTCTTTTAGGTATATACCCCAAAATCGATCTTACTATATAGTTATTCATTTCGATCTGGACCCTTCATTTTGATATCTTGAATCTAGAACATGTTCTTTTTAATCTTTCATGCCAGGTATGTGGTCACTCTTCAATCAATCTATAATCATATCATTTGAACTGACTGTACACTACCCTCTTTATCAATTGTATGGGCTTTTAGATCCCCAAAATCGAACCTCTTATGTATATGTCTTGTTAATTTCGATTTTGGCCTGTACTTTAGGTGTTTATTTAATGCAACTTGTTTTATTATTTAAAGCTTTCTTGCAGTTATGTTATCTATGTTTGATATATATATATTCAAATGTATTTTGAGTTGGAATCAAATAATAGAAACAATAATTGATTGAAATGAATATTACTAATCATCTGATTGGGAGTGAATGTGCCATGGTGAGAAAATGGATTGAATATTGACTCTGTTCTCTATGTGTTTCATCTTATGGAGATCTTTTGTTGATTTGTAAGTTAAAACACAGAACATTGATGTATATGTGTTGATGATAAAAGTAACTAGAAAAATATGAGAGTTGAGTATAAAGAGGCTGAGAGCTCAACAATATCCTTGAATTATCTGAAAAGTCCTGAGTAACTTCTTGAAAGAAATTCAAATTGTAGATATTTTGTAATCTTGAAGATTGAAACCTTATGACATTTTGATTTCCACAACGGTCAAGAGTGTACCAGAGGAA